GAAAGAAGAGAAATGTAGACATGCATGTAATAAAATGAATCAAGGAAATAGTTTTACTTGTGTTTTCTTAATAAGTTTTATTTAAGTGTCTTTATAACATCATTGAGTTCATCAAAATCAGAGAACTGTATTTCCTACCCCTCCATCCAAACTTGTAAAAAATGTTTAATTTCAGTGCCCTTTTCATTAGACCCAAGATACTATATATAAAGAAAAGTTTTCTATTTATTTAACCTGACATTTGCCATAGCTCCCTAGGCTAATCCATCCTAAAATGTGCAGGTTACAAGAAAACAGTCTTAATTTTTCTCTGGATATAATTTTTGTTTTGTCTTTTTGACAACTGTAGTGAAGTAAGGTTATTGTTATAGTCTTTCAGGCAGCTTAATTAGGATTGCAGTTTTTAATTATATTAATTGATTTGAAAAATTTTAATTGAACAAAAATTGCCCTTGAGTCATTAGTGATTTTCATTAAGGAACATATTTTAAAAATTGCATTTAACAAAAATTAAAGATGATGTCAATACAATATTTTTAAAAACTAAGTTTCTTTTGATTTAAAATATTTTATTCATAATTTAAAATCATATTTCAAAAATGATAAATTAAACCTTAACATTAATTATTTAATATATCTTAATTTGTTTGCATCACAAAAGTTTTCAATACCAATTTGTGGGAGTTTCAAATGGTTATAACTTACAAACATAATTGGCTCTAGGCTAGTATATCAGCTCATCTTTGAATCATTCTTATTCTTTTTCCCTTATAAAGGCATATAGAAATGAGGACTACTTTGATAGTCATTCTATATGTTCCTTTGTCTCTGAACATACCAACTTTTTCATTATTTCCAATAGTTTTCAAAGAGTTTAATCCTGGCATGTCAGCTACATCAAGGCAATTCTTTCTTATTTAAAGCATTAGTGGATTTTAAAGTGGAATTACAACAAATGAAGGCAAATATATGCGTCCCAGGATAATGTTGGTCCAAATGACCGATCCAAATTGGATCCCGGAATTACAATTTTTACAATATAGGGAAAATAGATGAATGCTTTTGTGACTGGAAGAGAGCTATTCTGAAAACCCATTTTGTTTTTGCTTTTTTCTCTTGTTTGATTTCTTTGTCAAAGATGTATTTTCTCCTTTAGGATTCATTCTGACCTTTTAAAACTTCTGTGTTGCTCAATATAGTGATAACTTGAAAAATACATATTTCTTGGGAAGTGCTCACATCCTTGAGCAATTATTCAATAGAATGATACAGTAACATTCTGCTACCAGGAGTTGAGATACTGTATTAGTTTATCAACATTTGGGACATTTGATTATAAGTCCAGTTGCCTTTTGAAAAAAGCATCTTTGGGACAACCGTGACATGCATTACTGAGAATCTCCATAGATATTTAAAGGGTCACTACATTCAATCTCTGCTTTACTGTTTATGTAGAGTCTCTCAGAAAGATCTTTTTTCTACTGTATACGAATTCTAAGGATCTTTTGGGTAGAATGATATCTATCCGAATATATTTTTCCCCATTGAACTGAATCTATTCTGTGATAGTTAGGTAATCAAAAAGCATAGCTATAGTCCTGAATTATTGTATGTTATTATGTAGATTTTATTCCTAAATGCTCTAGCTACAAATTGGTCCTCAGACTCAGAATTTCAGCAAATAGGAAATTTGCACATTTAATTTCCTTTCTAGAAACACTTGTACATTTCGTTTTGAAGGTTATTGGAAGAACTGGGAATTTGTATTTTTAATATTTTATTCAAATGTGATATGTTTTATTTATTTTATGTTTTTTTTATATCTTCTCATATTTAATTGCAAGAAGCAGTTGAAATTATCTGTAACTTATTGATTAGAAAAGGAAGTATGCAAACCCAGTGTCCATAAAGGCACCAACTGCATTTTAAGCAAAGATGGCATCCCCTCATTTCCTAGACTCTTTTTTTTTAAACAAGTTTTATTCAGTTTTCCATATTTTAACATTTTTAACGTCTTTTTAGTGAACAGCATGATTACAGGTTTCACATATACATACAAATATGAACATGATTACATATTCAATTTTTATATCCAATTCCTTATCTTAACAGTGCTTTTATACATTTTCTATTTTATTGTATTATTCCAAATATTTATCTCGTTATTTAATTCGCTTATGATAACTTCATAATCATTATACTTTAGTACTTTTAACTGTCACATTTGTATATTTCATCTTAAATTCTAATTAAAAAAGGACACTTCTTCTATAAATTGGTTTCCCCCCTGAAATCTCAATATAAGTGCGCCACCTCTAAGTTGTAATTCATTTATTTTCACCCCTTTTAAATCTCGTTAAAACATTTAATATTATTACCTAAAACATTAAACATAATAATCCCTTTAAAAATACATAGCATATATAAATCAGATTCTGCATGATTTTTCTTTTAAATTTCATTAACCCCGCCCCCCAAAAGGACATATTAATCTACTCATTCAAACAGTAAAACAATCCTAAGCCCTAAAGTTAATTCCATTTCAGCTCTCCTCCTATATCATTTCATTTATTTCCATATATTTAATACACATATTCCATTAATTATTCCATTCATATTTAAACCAAAAAAAGCCAACATTCCAATCTTAAAAATATTTCAATATATCTAATATACATATTCCATTATTTGTTACAATTATCTCTCTACATAAAGAGGAAGAGCATTAGATTCCATTATCCAAAAAATAACAATTCTGTTTTTTCATCTTGTCAGTCTATATGTCCCTATTTCGTAACTATAAATTTATTTATATTACCCCTCAATGCCTTGCAGAATCCCCTTTCTATATAATAATCACCCATTATCTCTGTGTCCAATTAAGGATTTTCCCATTTTTTTACAATTCCCATATTTCTTTGTTTCCAAATTCTGTTTCTTGTCCCTTCTTTCCCCCTGTCTTTTCTCCTTTGTTCTTTCACTCCAGTTTTTATCCCTCTCTCTATTTATAATTTCCTTTCGCCCTTTGAATTTCTGCTGACTCTTTTTCCCTTTTTTAATTTTTCGGATATTCCCCTTTTTATTTAATTTCTTAAATCTCCTGTATTTATTTCCAACTCTTTTCTTATTTCTTTCAAGAGTTCTTGGTTCCCGATGATCACTAAAAATGGTCTCTTCTATGATTTGCTCCACCTCCTCTTCTGCCTTTTGTCTTTGTTGTTCATATTCTGCTGTCGCATTTTCAGTAAATTTTGAAGCAAAACCCAGCAATTCACCTCATTCTTGTAGTGTTTCTTTCATTTTTCTGAGTTCCATTTTTAATGCCAGAAGAGAAATCACCATTTTACAACTTTCTGGTTCGCAATTTAATCCAAATAGTATTTAATCCAAATAGGAAAGTTTATTTCCTAGATTCTTAATCTGCCTGAGACTACTACATTGCTCTTGCGAGGAGTGGTTTTCTAGAACATTTATGGGTGATAGAAAGTCCTCGTCTTGCCTAGAGAGGAATTACAAAGAGCAGTACTGCTTGCCAGTACTTCGTTCGATTAAGATAGTTAGCTCTGGTTTTAGCATTGCCATCTTCAGTTCACCATTTCTTCCCTGAAGTCTAGAAAAATCTTAAATTGCTTTGTAAGATTAAAATAAAACAAGTGTGAGAACTTCATAAAAAGGAGCAAAATATGCTCAGATGTTATTTTGAACGATGTTTATATTTTCTGCTTCATAAATTATTCAATTAGCATAGTTGTTTGAAAAAAATACTCCTGTGGCTCTAGATTATTTATAGTTATAGTGAGAAAAGTCTAGCTGTCTCCACTTACCCTATTCAGCCTGTTGCTTTGACTTCTTAGATTGCCAATGTGCTGCAAGTCTAGTCTAAAAACAAGAATAAAAAGTTCAATATTGTATGGTGGCTTTGCTTAGAATACAATGAAAAGAAGCCATTTAAAATGAACAGTTAGAAAAAACAGTATTGGACATCAAGAAAAAAACATTATTAATTGTAGTATTGTTTATGATTCATCGCACAGTTAACCAGATATTCACACTGAATTTGCCATTTTTATCCAGCTATTGAGTCCTTCTCAAAGACCTAGGATAGACAGAGGTTGATATTTGATAGTTTTAGAGCAGGGGTGTCAAACTCAAGGCCTGCGGGCTGGATTTGGCCCATGGGATGTTTAGATCTGGCCTGCAGGGCCACCCTGGTAGCAGTGAAGAACCGGCCTGTGGTGCCTCTGCCAGCAAAAACAGAGCTTGGGAGGTGTGCTCGTGGCCCTGCCGGACTTTGTTTTCACTGGCAGAGGGCTGGAGGAGGCCATCACAGCCAAAAAGCCCCTCCAGGCCACCACAGGTGCTCCTAGCATAACTGATGTCAATCTGGTTATGCCCCCCAGCCCCTCCGAGGTCAAACACAACCCTGATGCAGTCCAAAAAGGTTTGACACCCCTGTTTTAGAGGTATTGTTACAGATATTAATATATTATTTATTAAATTATTATTGTTGTTATTAGTAATAAAATTATATCTCTATGATGAGTTGGGTAATTGAATGGTTGCAAGCAAACAGCCAAGCTCAGGGACCAACCAAAACTTAGTATAAGCTGGCATTAAAAAGTGGCAAACAAATCTTTGGGATGTTTATCTCCTTCTGTTTACAAAAGAGAAAAGGTCAATAAATGTGTTCATCCTAGTTTCAAATACATGCATGTTATGGATTTTTAGTATGTGGTAAGACATTCTAAACCAAACCCATTGGATTCAGTGGGTTTTCTTCATCACTCAACATAGATGTAGTTCTGCTTTCTGTATCTAACGCAAACATTGAAACAGTAGTCTAATGTTACATTTTTGGGTTGTGTATATATAATGTGATATGATTTTTATATGTAATATATCTGAACATAAGGATATGTTACGTCTTATATGGAAAATGTATACCTTTGAAAGAATCACAAAGCTTTATCTGATGTTACTTAATGGACTTATTTTTCTAGTGCTCTTGGTGGATCTTCTGCTCTTCACATTCCTGCTTTTCCAGGTGGAGGCTGCCTCATTGATTATGTTCCCCAAGTATGCCAACTATTAACCAACAAGGTAATACCCAGAATAGACAAACTTTTTACGAAGATATTCTAATACAAGGGCTCTAGACTAGGGTAAAAATAAATTATTCTTGATAAATTGATAAACCCTATGAACTAAGGTTAATTCTGTCAGAAATTTCAAAACCAAAGATGAACTTGCCTAATGGAAGGTCACTTTGAGGTGATCCAAGAGTAGTTGAAAAAACCATGCATAGCTTTCTGCATTTCAGCTGTACAATTTGCGTCAGAGTTTGCATCAATCTGATCAAGGGAGGTACTAATACCACTCTAGAAAGCCTTAGTAAAACACACTTAGAGTGCACATTACTGGATCCAGTTTTGTTCACCACATTATAAAAACTGCATCCAGTTTTGTTCACCACATTATAAAAAAGATGTTGAGACTCTAGAAAAAGTACAGAGAAGAACAACCAGGATGATTAGGGGGCTGGAGGCTAAAACATATGAAGAACGGTTACAGGAACTGGGTTTGGCTAGTCTAGTAAAGAGAAGGACCAGGGGAGACATGATAACGGTCTTCCAATATTTGAGGGGCTGCCACAGGGAGGAAGGGGTCAATCTATTTTCTAAAGCGCCTGTAGGCCAGACAAGGAATAATGGATGGAAACTGAACAAGGAGAGATTCAGCCTGGAAATAAGGAGAAACTTTCTGACAGTTAGAACAACCAACCAACAGCTTGCCCTCAGAAGTTGTGGGAGCGCCATCACTTGAGACTTTCAAGAAAAGATTGGACTGCCATTTATCAGAAATGGTGTAGGGTCTTCCGCTTGGGCGGTGGGTTGGACTAGATGACCTACAAGGTCCCTTCCAACTCTGATTACCTGTTATCTGTTATCTGATTTTGAAATAGTCTGGAAATATCCTTTATTCCTGTTTAAATTGCTCTTGCTTAAAGGAATCTTATAAATTATGAATTGATGAAATATACTTCAAAATGCATTTCTATACCAGAATCTGTCTTTAGAGTTGTTTTTGTTATGGCTCTATTGATTAGTTGTTTTTTAAAAATTTGCAAGTGCCCAGATCTGTTTTTAAACTACAAAAAATTGCTCCCTGTTTAGTGTTCCAATTAGTAGTCAGACAACTATGTAATGTGTGATAAATAAATAAGAATATTGTGCAGAAATTATGAACTGATAGAACATGATAGACATGTTCTAACTGCAACACTTAAACATTGGCCCAGGAAATTTCAGAGGTGTGAAATACACAAAATTGCATTTCAATGTAAAACAAAATGCTTAGAAACCATAGACTTCTTCAAATTACTTATGAAATACTGTATGAAATTCCAGATGGATAGTATATTGCCATTATGTAAAACAGCAGAATCTAATATCATAATAAGGTTTAATCAAAGTGTTAATCCTTAAAATGTAAAGTATGTGTAATTATTATATATGTTTATTACACAAACCTCTTGTTGCTGATGCATGTAAAAATATTTTCCAGACTACTGTCAATTTTGCTATACATAATGTATAAATTGTATTATTAGTAAAGCAAAAACTCTCCCAAATTAATATTCTATATTGTAATTTAGTTTTATTATAATGGCACTCATTTTTTTCTTTTCTTTTATAGGTTCAATATGTTATCCAGGGTTACCATAAGAGAAGGGAATATATTGCAGCATTTCTTAGTCATTTTGGAACGTACGTATATATGTTTCACTTTAAAATGGAATATAACCATAAGCACTAGCTTTCTGTCTATTTTTACTCATATATACTAAAAAATATTTTTGCCACTTGAGTTTTTCTAAATATGCATATTTAAGCTTGGTAGCCCCGAGTTATATTACTGTAGTTATGTTACATTTGTATTTATTATGCACTAATAGATAAATTATGCCATAGTATAGAAGAAAAGAATTTTAGCATTTCTTCTTTCTTACTCTATCCTTCAAGATAATTTCTGAAGAGTTGGTGAGAAAAAAGCCAAAAGAAGGGGAAATTATTAACAACAATAATAATAAGGTTTAATCAAAGTGTTAATAATACAGATGGCACCCTTTGTTAGTTGAAAGTAGAAGCAGTCAAAATTCTAGATTAATGCTAAATATTAAGAAATCAAATAAAGTCTCAACAGTATAATTAGTGAAATTATAGGTGAAAAAGGTAATTTTGAGGTTTGGATTCAAGAATAGGTGTCAGGCTACAGAACTTTTCCCATTCAATCAACTAGAATGAACTTCTGGAAACATATCAAAACGTATCAAAAAGGAATCCTTTATTGAGATGAGACAATTCATGTAGGGGTTAAAAGCAGCGTCTAAGGTCTCTCAGGCATGCAGAGATAGATAAGGGAGTTTAGAACCCCTCCCCTTCTCTCAATGTGTATTTTGTGAAAAAAAAGCCAGTATGTTTATTCCACCCCCACCCCTTCTGAAGGAACAATCTTTTTCACAGTTTCCTAAGCATACATCTCACTGGAATTTTTTATGGTCTTCTCATCTCCTGGCTGTGCCGCTCAGAGGTGTTAGATTCTGGCCATCTGGGATTCCTTTCTCTGTTGTATCATGTGTGGGTTATACAAATTCGATGTAAGATTGAATGTATTCAAGTTACATCAAGAAAGGATTTCTTTATCATTCTTCCCCCCCCCCCCCCCCCCATTTCTTCTTCCACTGAAGAAATGACAGCTACAGGGATCTGACATTAAGATGGACAGTACGTCGGAGAAGAAACTGGAAGATTAATTCTAAACAAAATCATGAAGGAAAATACTATTTCTATGGGAATAAAGATCAAAACAATGATTTTCCAGTGTTAATGTACAGCTGGTTACTTAAGTACTTATGGACTGCTGGCAGAATTGGCCAGGCTGCTAGACGAAATAAAAACCGGCAAATCCCTTGAGGCAATAATCAGCAAGCAGAAACTCAAATACTTTGGACATACTAAGTGGGTGGATGCATTAGAAAAGCTATGTTGAGTGAAATAGAAAAATGGAAAGAATGGATAATGTGGATGGACAGGATCAGCAAGATGAGAATATAGATCAAGATAGCAGATATTTGCCCATTTAGTTTATAGCACCCAACTAGCTATGTAATTTTCACTAACAGTTCCCCATCCAAGTCCTGCCAGAGGTCACCTACAGGTGTGATAGATGTGGGTCAGTGCCATGCAGAAACCTGAACCCGCATTGAAAAAGGTCTAGATAATCCATTTCCTCCAGAACCTTCCAGAATTTTTCCTACTTTTGCAAGTTTAATTCTGCTGATATTTCTAATTATTCTAGTTGCAACATTTTTAATTTTGCCTTTAAAAGTGTGTGCATGTGTGCACCTTTATTTCAGGTTTTTTTTCGGTACATATTAATAAAAGGAAAAATATAAGTACTGTAGTAAATTCTAATCACATTTGCTCCTTAAAAACTGGAGCTGCCAGAAGGAAAGTTCGTTGGGTATAATGGGGTCTAAATAAGAACTAGGAAAACAAGTAGCTGCACACAGTAGGTGTTAATGTCCACAATCGAGTAATTAGTCAATATTGTTTGTGCCTGATTAGAGAGGGAAACAGTGCCTTCTGCCCTATACATGAATTTATGCATGCCAACAGGAAGGGCTAAGCCTTCTCTGCCTAATTTTGCTTTGTGGTTCTAATTATATTTTAATTAATAATTTTTTTAATAGTGGAGTGGTAGAGTACGATGCTGAGGGTTTCACAAAACTCACTTTGTTGCTGATGTGGAAGGATTTTTGCTTCCTGGTTCACAGTGAGTAGTTATTTTCCTTTGGATACAAATATCTTGAAAATTTAAACAAAAATTAACAGGGAAGTACCAAATACAGCAACACTTGCATCTCCTTTTCCCCACTATCTGTCTTGAGTTTTCTGCATTCTTCATGTTTGGGTAATGTCACCTGAAATCTCAAAAAGGTCATAAGGTTTGTTAGATCATTTGTTCTTTTTAAATTATGTAAGATACAAAATGCTTTGAAAATCACAGACAGAAAAACATATTGGAATATGCCTGATGTACATACAAGGACGTTTTTCCCCTGCATGCCATCACTCTGCTAAACCACTAATTCCCACAACACTGTCAAACTATTTACTAAGACTATATTACTATTATTCTTCTCATCCCTCCTATTACCTATCTCCTTTTCTGCTTATGACTATAACCTTGTTGCTTATATCTTTATGATTATATTGTTTTATTTCATTTTTAGTATGATTTTGATTGCTTATTTAGTATCCTATGACTATCACTAAGTGTTATATCTTATGATTCATGATGAATATATTATGACTATGATCATGATTTATCGCTTATATCTGTTATGCACACAAAGAGCTTATGCACCGAAGACAAATTCCTTGTGTGTCCAGTCATACTTGGCCAATAAAGAATTCTATTATATTATATATGTCAACAGACAGTTACTAAGATATACTGGGAATATGTACGAGATAGTTAGATATAGATAAATGGATGTAGATATAAATATATACAATGTATGGTATTCAGCTTTGTTCGGGTATTTTCCCACGTCATTATAGTTGTGCTTTTAAAGTTGTAGCAACGTTTCGGCAGAATCTCATCTGCCATCATCAGGCTTCTGTATTGTGTTCGTCTGTGAGTCAGACTTTCACAGCCGTTTCAGTTTTAAATTTGGGGCTAGCCTACTGCTGCTGTATATACAATATATACAGTATATACTCTAAATTTAGATCTAGATCTTTGTACACTGAACATATACATATACCCTGATATTGATAAATTATTCTGAAATGTTGTTATGCCTAAGAAATCTAACACCTTTTTCATTCAGTACCATCTATTGGAACATAGAAAATGAGTCTTCTGAATTGCAACTGTGGAATATCTCCTCCAAGATCTTTATAGCTCATACCCTGAGGATGTTCAAAAAGTCACTGCAATCTTAGCTGCTCTTCAAAGCCTTGAGTAACTTGATGGTTGAGACACTGTACAATTTTTTATTATTATAGAGAGTTTGCCTTCTGGATGCTTATGATTTTTTTTAATTTACCTGTTTTAATTCACACACACACACATACATCCACCCAAAGTTATTTAATAATCTTAATTGTGTTAAATAAATAAATAAATGTATGCAAATAGCTATACTCTCCTGTAACAATTGCTCTGTCTCTGGTCTTCAAATCCTTTCTGCCTTCTCATCTGTATCAGTGGTACCAATGTTGTCATCAAGAAGACCATTCTTGGAAGATGGTCTCTCCTTTTTCGACTTTCTCTTCCTGGGGTTTTTGTTGCAATATTTCAGTTAGAATGTATCTTTTGGAAGTCTTGTTGAGATTTTGCTGTAAGTTCTTTTTTAATTCCAGGCAGTCTCCTCCCTTCCAGATCCTACCCTTTTATTCTTTTTCTCTCCTGTTTTCAAAAGCTTTTAATTATCCAGAAATCTTTATTATCCCTTTGACTTTTTATTTTCAGCATTAAATGCCTATTGATGTCAAAGTGGATTTTTTTCCAATTTCTTGCTTAAGTCTCTTAGCTGTCAGTATAGGAAAAGGAGAAAAAAACAAACCAAATCTTTTCCCTTTTTTCTCTCCTTCGCAGCTTAAAAATCTTCTTAGGGAACAATGTTATTGTTTTTTTAACAGTTTCAATTCCAGGGTACCTTATTTGTTGCTTTTGCTGTTTGACCCGGTCAACCAAAACTTTCTCTTCTTATCTTCCTCCTGCACATTCTTTTCCAGTCGAGTTCTTCTTTGTGGTGGCCATTTCTGACCACCGCTGCAACCGCCTTCGGGAAAGGGAGTAATGGCCAGCTGGGGAGGAGAGATGCGGCTTTTCTCAACCCTGCAGGCAGTCTCCCCCCTCTTCACCACCTCTATGGGGTGGCTTAGCCCCGAAACCAGCCGGCTCGGGGCGCTCCAGCGGCGAGCATGGATCAAAGCCTCACAGAGACGAGGTTTCGGTCTGTCGCTGAAGAAGCTCAAACCGGAAGTCCCCCGGAAGATGGTCTCTCCTAACTGGCCTGCAATTGTTTGCTTTCTCCCCAGGTCAGTTATCAATGTGAGATACTTGTTTATCTTAATTGTTTATTTTTTAAAGTTGTTAGTTCCTTTGAGTTCTCTTTCAATAGAATATCATATAAATCATATTAATCAGTAACTGTCGTGGTACTGTAGTTTGAAATAATTTTGAATAGTTTCATTTTCTGTTCATAAATAAATTCTTATAGAAAGGTTTTCAAACCTTAGTAGAGGTGTAAATTAAACTACCTGCAATAGTGCAGCTAAATAGCCCTGATATACAGTATCAGATAGCAAACGATTCAGCCATAGATGAAATTTCCCACTGAACCTTGAATCCTTGTACTCTTGGAGATCACTGTACTGGTTGGCAGTGTTTTATATGTTAATTGCTTCCAATACCAGTATTGAGGCTTATTGAGAATATGCTTTCAGCAAAGTATGTTTTCTGAGATTATTTTGTAAACATGGTTACTGTTCTTTATTATTCTCAAAATTATTCTACATGGTTTATAATCCTAATTCACACTACACAAATCATTCAAATACAACAATTGATTATTTAAAATTATGAGCAATAATAACTCTTATTCTAGCTCAGACCTGTGTATTTTATGGCCCCTGGGTCACATCCAGCCCTTTAGCTGTCTCTGGCTTGTGGCGGGAAGGAAGGGCTCCACAAAAGTCTCAGTTTCTCCTGTGGCTCCCTGCAAAAATTAAGTACCCATCCCTGATCTAGCTTATCCACTTTTTGTCTTTGTTGCTTCAGAGAGCAGATGATTAGAAGATGTTCCATATATATATATGGAACACAATACAGAAGCCTGATGATGTCAGATGAGATTCTGCCAAAACGTTGCTACAACTTTAAAAGCACAACTATAATGACGTGGGAAAATACCCAAACAAAGCTGAATACCATATATATATTTCACTTTTTGTATTTGGAATATTAGCACCGAAAATGTCCATTGTCATCCTTTCTAATAAAAGTGAATTTGAAAGGAGAAAAAAAGCACACTTGAGACATGTCAGCACAGCTTGTAGTCAGCCAACTCTTTAGTTAGTATATCTTCAAGAGATTGACTGAATCTATCCTCATTTTCCAGGTTTCATAGCTGTGATTTTTCTTTTACGTATATAGCAATGCAGAAAAATAATTTAAAATTTCTTTACATAGTAGTTTATTTCTGCATAAAGAATTTTGAAGTTTGAAAACTTTCAAATAGTTTCTCATTAAACTCAAAATTACTTTGCTCCAGGAAAGTCAGCAATCAGTATTTAATTATCCATGTTTTTAAAATCTAATTTTTTTTCTTTTTATTTAATTAATTCTAGAGTTACTTATTGAGAGAAATTATTACAATTGAACTATTGCCACTGATTAACTTACTCAAACTAACTGATGCATCACTAGCTTTGTTGAATAACCCAAGGGTTATTGAGTTATTAAAAATAATGCAAAGAAAACCACTGAAACATGTACTTCATTTCTTTGAAATTTGAGTTGATCTTATCTTTCATTTCTGATAGACTTGTAATTCTAAACATTTAATCACATGTGAAGTGTAATCAGAAGAGAATATTAATTTTCTCTATTTTAGAGCAAAAGCATAAGATGAAAACACATTAACAAAAGTTACATTATTCAGATATGGGTTTTTTTAGTTTTATGCAAAATCAATGCTTTCATCTGAATTCCATCAGATGATAGGATATCAACTACAAATAATTAAATAATCCCTTTGAGAGAGATGAGAGGTTCAGAAATGTAGAAAAATAAACAAACAATGTGCTGAGGAATAATTTCCCTTTTAAAACTGTTCATATTTGTATGTTAGTTGCTTAATTTTTAATTTGCAGATGAAAAGATATGTATTTGAAATTGATTATTACAAAGTGAGTAAAAATTGAGTTATAAAATGCAAAATATTGGGTTTTCATAGCTTCCTCTCTGCTTAAATACCAGAAATCTGATGTAAAACATCCTGCAATAATTCTCAGCAGATTTTTCAAAGAATGGAGGACAGTTGGAATCACCCTACGTGACCATTTTCTATTAATTGATAGCAGTCTCTGAATACCAGCTAATGTCTTCAGAAGAATGTTCTTCTAGGGCATATGGCTTGAGCCAATCATACAAAAGAATTTGGCTGTTCTTCATGTTCATTAGCATTCAGTCCATATTTGTTAACAGTTTGGTGTGAATTCCTGCTTATCATACCCTAAAAATTAAAGACTTATTGCAGTTCTCTCTGGATAGCTTGAATGTTTTGTATGATGGAGAAAAATAATTTTTAGTCAATTATTGCTGACAGTTGTAGTATAGTTTTATGATCGCCTCGGATAATAAAAATATTCTTCAAAAATATTTTATTTTATCAGGACACATTTCTTACATTTCTTCTTCTAGCTGTTAACCTGATTTAAATTTAGTTATGGAATTAACATAAGCCATAAATGTTTTTTTTATAATGAATGTGGTAATGGTCGTATATTTCATATAATATCGTAGTATTTTATTCGTTCCGCAGTTGAAGTGAACTGTGTGTCAGTTATTAACCTAACAATAATTTTCAAAGTAATGTTCTAGTTGAGAAAAAAAAATGTTATTAATGTCACTAAGTCAAGAATATCTGATAAATTTCTGAATGCTAATACAAACATTCAATTTCATGGGAAAACATCAATATAACTGCTGGCAAAAATACTTTGCCATACATTATAAGTTGTTTTACATTGGTATAA